CTTAAGGGATAGTCTCGCTGGCTAATAATAATTCTAATAATACTAATAACCATTAGGTCCCAAGGAATACATGTCCTTCGACTCGATAATTGCGACGTACCTCGTTGAGCTCTGATTTGCGAGACTATCCCTTAAGTTAGGGGAACGCACGTTCCATTCTTCCACTGGAATGCTCTCCCAGCTAGTTACCTGCATAAACAATAAAACATATATTAGAATAATTAATACACTTAATTACAAAATAGAAGTCTTAATATCTACTATTCGACTTTTAGAAGTCGCCGAGCTCTCTCATAAGTCTCCATTGCATGTATCCTGGTGCTATATCAAAACCTTGAGCTCCAAAGCTCCAAATGAAATTAATAAACCTCCATTTGCTCAAGTTCGCCTGTAATAAAAGAAAACATTAAAGATTTGCTTATCACGCCTAATACTAATAAACAAACGCTTTTACGCGCTAATAATACCAATGATTCATCCCTCGATGAGTCATGGCGTATAACAACTTAAATAAAAAGATCTACTAATTCTATTATTTCTTATAATTTATCTCATTCTATTATTACTAATTCTACAAATATTAATTCTATTAATTCTATCGAGGCTTTAGCTATGAGCACTTACGAGAGATCTCTCTGTTCACCAGACATCGCTAATTCTTTATTCACGCTGGTAGAACCATTCCCTCTTGATAGCTCTAAGGAACATGCTCACCTCATGTGAGGCTTGATTGTTAATCTTGCGCGTACTCTGTTTCTGAAAAAGGAAAAATGAATGCATTTAGTATAAATAAAAAGTGATAAATAAAAGTGTCACCGTGATCAATTCCGTTAGCGATAACATTAATAATTATACGAATAATACAAGCGATAATTGCGAAAATTGCGAAAACATAGCGAATATAAACAATAATTCAATAGTAGAAAATAATTTCAATAATTCCGATAAGTTATCATACATTCTACCATTATTACGAACACTTAACTGCTCTCGAGAAAGAGCATATTATTAAATTAGTAAGAACACATAGCGATAGATTTTATATCTCTAACAAGTATCTCGACCAAACGCATGTACAAACTCACAAAATTATTATTACAGATAATCTACAAGGTTAGGTACAATTATAAGGTTCGAAAGTTACAGTACTACCGGCATTTGCATTACGCAAGGTGTCCGGCTAAAATCTCTTGAATGTTGTTCAGGATCACATTTGTTATCCATCCTGGATATTTGTTAAGATCAAGGTTATTGGTGATTGTTTCTCTTATTTTCTTTTTTGCACTTTGAAAATTCATTTTAATAAATTTAAATTTCCACTAAAAACTTGATGATATACTTTATTAATTAATCTAATCATTACTAATATTATATAATACATTTATATAACTAATATATAACTAATTACCCGACACTACGTGATATATTTTTAACCTAAATTGTGAAATGAAAAATAATTCTCAAGTCTTAGCATTTTCTATTCTTTAGATCTGTTTAATAATAATAATAACAACTTTGTGCAACTATTTACAAGTAGTAAAAAATAAAAACATGATAATAAATAAAAGCGACAGATGCATGTAAAAGACAGCAGCTAAAAGGCTGATTAGAAACTAAGTAAATTATAATAACCGTAAATAAGAGTAGAATAATACATATATTTAATCATGTGGTATTGATTTGAAACATAGTAAAATATAATTACAATAGAGATAGAGAGTATACATGAATCAGATATATAATGATTAAATAATGAAATGGATAACAATATAAAATAGTATGCGATTATTCTTCCGAAAGAGCAACTTATTTTAAAAGAATTAAATTATGATGAGAAACGAGACTTCTTTTAAAAAAATAAATAAATTTTGTCTAATACCATTTTATACTATTTCATGCTATTTTATATTGTTATTCATTTCATTATTTAATCATTATATATCTAATTCATGTATACTCTCTATCTCTATTGTAATTAAATAAAGATAAACTTATAACGGCTGTTAATAATAATAAACAAAAATGAATTTAATTGTAATTACGATCTGTATTGATTTCCGTTTGTCTTGATATTGTTATCACTTCTCCAGTGGAAGACAGAATAAAAATAATCCAGAAAAATCATGAATCTGCAGCAGGCAGTCACAAGAACATCACGAAAACATATCTGCAAATTAAACAATAATATATGCAGTAATATGAAGACACAAATTCAAGATTATATTCGACAATGCCATACCTAGTTCGCGAGGCACCAATGTATCAGTCGCCAAGAACACACATCCTCGAAACGCTACAAGAGACACCAAAGTCGACTGCAACAAATGCAATATTGATCATCTTTCGGAATCATTAATGGAATTGCAGAGTAGAACGCTTTGTCATTAACATTGTCATTCGTTAGCTGTCTTGACTTGGAATTACCAAAAAGTCTGCCATTATATATGCCGATTTCATAAAGAAGAGGTCAATTGAACGTCAGCAAACAATTCAGCATTACGCATTAAATCGCCTTTTCGGAGCAATTTTGTCTTGGACACCGCACTATTTTTTTCTCTTTATGTCAGGCTTTGCACTTCTCAGTCGATTTTCGATTTGGTTCTGCTTTCCCTTTCACTCTCTTCTCACCTTCTCACCAGCGCGGGTACTGAATTTGCTTTCGTCAGTGATGCGAATTCCGGGTCGCTTGGAGCACGATTACTAGAGGGGACATAAGAAGATATATACACTACAATGAGTCTATATTCGTGTATACTTGTGCATGCGTGGGCGTCCGTCTATACTCTCTTCATGCTAATAATCGTGCTGCAAGCGGTCCGAAATTCGCATCACTGCTTTTCGCGCGAACTTTGAATGATGCTTAGTCATAGTATATATGTGTACATGATAGCATAGTATACTGTATATATTAGGTATAGTAAAAAGAAATCCATTATTTTTCCAATAGATGGCTTTAGTTTAATCTGTATCTCGTCTACGCAGTATAACCTAACCTAACCTAACCTAACCTAACCTAATATATACACGATAGTATAGTATATACAGGGTGTCATGAATATACAGCCCCACTCGTCCTGAGCAAATAGAGTGGACTAAATTGAGTAGAAAAATCCTCTACCATTTTGTAATACCATTTTGCTCGCAATAATTAACGAGATATTAACGTTTAAAGATAGCCGAATACGCGCGTCCGCGTCCATCCAATCAGAACTCTGGAATATAATATCGAACTTACATACCAGAGCTCTGATTGGACGTTATTCCCTGTTGCCTGTGCCTGTTGTGTTTAAGCCTTTAGGGATGTCGTTGCCCTAAAAAATAGGGATAATAAGAAATAAGGAACAGAGAACAGAGAAAATAAGAATTTCAACCTATTAGAAACTGTGTATTCCATAATACATGATTTCTGATAGGTTGAAATTCTTATTCTCTGTTCTCTGTTCCTTATTTCTTTTATTGTGCGGATCCTCTAAGATTTGACTACAAATACCGACCTAAGCTTTAAATCTTCTGCTTTTTTTGCCGTACCATTCAATTTTTCAACCATCTGGAAGCATTGGTCATACACGTTTGATAACTGCAATTTGTATATTTTCACGACACGTGTTATTATTAAATTAAGTAAATTATCGCAGTTAGAAATTAAAACAAATTTTTTAAAGCTTATGAATATGTTGATTACTTTGTTCCAGAATCCACTACAGTCTGAGAGTGACTCGTTTTGGACGGATTATATTGCTAATTGTTATATTGCCGAGGATGATTATAAAGCGAATCAAAACGTTCAAGATTTTGAAATAAAGAAGACACCAATATTATGAAGAAGTAATTGTTATTTATTAATAACTGTACGCAACTCCTGCGCTGAATCCATTAACCTTGACACTTATTAATTATTATTATTTTAAATATTATTAATTATTTAAAATTATTATTATTTTAAAAGTTCTTATTTATTACATAATTCGAAAATTATTAACTTTTCAGAGATTACTATTATTAGTGCAAGCTTTGACTTATACATGCTTGAACATAACCGTCACTGGAAACATATAGATATAACAAATTAGATATAGAAAGTTTCAAAAGTCTTAGACCATACATATGAGTATGCAATCAATATTACAAAAATTAAATGCTTATATAATTCTTAATAATGCTTGAATAATGCAGATGGACGCGCGTATTCGGCTATATTTAAACGTTAATATCTCGTTACTTATTGCGAGCATTGCAAAATAGTACAGGACTTATAGGGAATAGTACTTTTCTACTAAGTTTAGTCCACTCTACCTGCTCGGGACGAGTGGGGCCGTATATTCATGCCACCCTGTATATATATATATATATATATTTATATATTTATATATTCTGTTTACATCATCTGATGACGACTTATTCAATTGATATAGACGTTTGGATAAACACGTTTCGATTAATATATATCAATGTCTATAACTCGAAGGACTTTTGAGAAAAAGTGATGATACATTTGTGAGTTTTTTATTTCTTTGTTTTATTACAATTCATATTTTATTTAATTTTATATACTACAATACACTAAGCCATGAGGATTCACAATTTGCCGTTATCCATTGTAACTTCTTTTTCGTATACACAGAATTATACGTTATATTATTGTAACGTTATTATTATAACTCAAACAATATAAAATGCAAAAAGGATATAAAATATCTTTTAAATGTCTTTTGTAAGTATCTTTAAGACAATTTTGAGGTGACTTTCAATTTTATAAAATGTTCTAAATCCTGATTTTGAACTTATATTATTTGAAAACTTATTCTTATAACTTATAAATCCCTTTAATACAATGCATATGTATAAAAAGAAGAGCATAAAAAACCACCACACAAGTTATAGTTTGTGATATTTAATTATCATTACATTAATTAAAACATTAGACGTTTCGGCCACAATCTGGCCATCCTCAGTAAATTCAATATTCTTAAAATGCAGAGTTACATATAGCTAACATTAAATTCAACCATCGTATGAATTTTTATGATTATGGTTTTTATGCTCTTCTTTTTATACGTTTTGAATTATAACTACGTTCGTTTTTATGATGTATTACAATGCATATGTATGTACTATATGACAATGTCTTTCTCTCAGTATATGTCTATACGTAATATTAATATTAATTTTATTTTTATATTAATATATGTATATCTTAAATAACTTTAATAACTTTAATAACTTTAATAACTTTCGTATATCTTCAATAAGATGTAAGACTGATATGTAAACAATATAAACAAAGTGTAAGAAGACTGATATATAAATCAAAATATTTACTGTTTTCTTTGAGGCGATAAATGTTTATGTAAATGTTTATAATAAAAGGTACAAAATGTTTGCTTGTTCAGTAAAATTAATCAAAACCTCGAAAGTTAATTGAATGTAGTTAATCTATATAAGTCTTATTGGGAGTCTTTCAGAAATTAAATCTCATTTTATCACACCTATTGGTACATTGTTTGCAACTTCTCGAAATATATTATTTTCTACTTCATCATCTAATTGAGGAACGTTTAAATCATCACCTTTCATTATACAAATATTATGCATGACACAACAGGCAAGGATAAAACGTGCAATTAAGTCAGTCTTATTCATAGGAAGACGTTGTAATAAACTTCGAAATCAATTTTTTAAAAGACCAATGACTCTTTCAATACTAATTCGCGCTGAAGAATGACAGAAATTATAATTTTTTTGTCGTTCAGTCAAGTGGCCATCGCGATAAGGAACTATTAAATTATCATGAAGTTTATATGGAGAATCATCATCTAAATGACAATCATCAGGAAATTTTGTCGGATCACTCAATCTGTCTTGGATTTCTGGTCGAAACACACACTGGTTATGTACAGAATCAGCATGTCCAACATAGCAGTGGATGAAACGAGCTTTATGACAAATTACCTGTAAGATATAGAGTATACATAAATAAACATATTATCAGATGGAATGATTTTTCTACTTGAAATGTTAAGTGCACATTACAAATCTGTAGTTGAATAGAATGGTAACCTTTCCGATTGATACACGCTTCTGGATTAACACATGGAGATGGAATCTTGATGTGAGTACCGTCTATGACTTTTGAAGAAGAACTATTTGCTTCAAATCCTGTTCCAATATAATAAGGAAACTACCATAATTAGTAAAATGTAGTTTCTTCCTCAGTTCATTCTTCTTTACTGTTCGGACATTAAAATTTTTGTTGAATAAATAAGTTATATATAAAATAATAATAATAATAATAATAATAATATCAATAGTTTATAAAACTATGGGAAAAGATGAATGTACTTCAATATATTCATCTTGGAGCTTATGGCTACGCATTACAGTATCTTTTTTTTGTACGTGAAGAGTAATGGTCTAATAGTTCTTCAAAAAGATCTTCGATCATTCAACAATAATTTTTATAGGACATAGAATCTTGCAAATTGCAAACAAGTAAAATTAATAAACGGTCAAAATTTGCTGCTATGAGCATGAATTAAATACTGGATACCATTTTGTATCACATTGTAAAACCCTTTTTCCTTTGTTTCTTTCTTGCAATTACTTTCTCATCCAAATTTTTTGGCGTTTGCAATTTCTTCTTTTAATTTTTAAATTTAATAATAATATATCCCCAAAGCAGTTAACATTCATCGTTTGTGTAGTTCATTAATTAAAAATAAGCGCTGATGTTTGCCCATCTTTTTTTTAGATATTTTTTGGCTTGCAATCTGACGTTTAACAGATAACTACGAAATTGTTTCTATTCTGAAGATGCTGTCAATCGTCTACGATTACGTGACCATTTTCAATCTTTTGATTGGTACATGCAAGGAAACAAGTTTGATATCGTGCCAAATGTCAGATTCATTTTGTATAAAAACGCATTTAATAAATGCGTTTTTGATATGAATAAAACAATATAATATAATATTAATAAAATAATAAAAGAATAAAATAATAAAATAAATAAATAAATAAAATGAAATAAAATAAAATACAAAGAATAAATAAAATAAATAAAATTAGAAAATACGAAGTGTTACTACAGTTTGAATGTTAAGATGTTGAACTATTATACAGGGTGTCTCTTGAGTAAAGTCCGGACTGCATTGGGACATAGAATGAGTCAAGGGGAACAAAAAATCTTATATCATTTTGAAATATCTGCTTTTTCGAATTAAAAAAAAAACATCTAAAGTTAAAAACTTATGGGCACGTCATTTGACGCACGCGTCATTGAAAAAAAATAACTTGATTATAGTAACTTGT